TCCTCTACTTAAGAAACACAATCCAAAGGGGAGACAACATGCAAACAACCAGATGGGTACAATGTAAATGAGAGAGCAGAGAGGTGGTGACTGGATAGAATGCCCAGCCTGGAGTCAGGAAGACCTGAATTCAAATCTAGCCTCAGACACTTATTAGCTGTGTGGCCCTGGGCAAGTCACTTAACCCTGTTTGCCTCAGTTTCCTCATCTATAAAATGAAAAAGGAGATGGCAAACCACTTCAGTATCTTTGCCAAGAAAACCCCAAACGGGTTCACAAAGGGTCAGACACAAATAAAAGGACTGAACAATAACAAATGAGAAGTAATCCCAGAGGAAAGGCTCTTGTAGTGAAGGGGGACAGGAAAGACTTCTTGAAGAAGGTGGGATTTGAACAGAGTCTTGAAAGAAAGCCAAAAAAACAAGGAGATGGAAGTGAGGAGGATTTTATTTTATCTTTGCCTCCCCGGTACCGAGCAAAGTGAATGGCATTTAGCAGGTACTTAATAAATGCTTGCTTATTGAGTGGAAAGGGTTTCTTAAGATTTCTTTTACTCCCAGAAAGAAAGCAACGTTGGCCTGGAGGGAAAGCCTTGACAATCCTATTGCCTCCACCCTGACTGCTTAGCATGCCCCTACCGCTAGGAAAAAGGGAAGCAGAGAGCCTTCCTGAGATGAAAAAATAGAAAGGATAAGCTTCCTCCACCGGCTGGCTTCCCCATTCCCTCCCCCCTCACTTTGGCTTATCTCTCCCCAAACAATAAGAACTCTTAGCTGAACACTGCAGTATGACTCAGATGAAGTCGGTTCCCATCTCCAGATGCAACTCCCTCTCTTCTGGGAGAGACTTTAGCCAGGACCAGGAAGTGCTTCCCTGTAGCTCCAAAGGGCAGCGTGAGGGCCCACACTGGTATTCCCAGAGGTAAGTAAGGGCTGGAGTCTGTCATCCACCATCAGTATATCTAACCCAGACACCCTCCTTGACTTCATTATCTAGTCTGGTCACTAGGGCTTGGGCATAGCTCACAATTGCCCTCCTCCCCAGAGCCTTTTCCCATAACCTGCTGCAAAAAAGACTGACTCTGGGCCAAAGGCCAATGCAGAATTGTGTAGAGGAGGGGAGGGAGCAGTGAAATTCCAGGAGATGCCCAAGATGAAGGATACCTAACAACCTCTCTTCCTCTGAGGTTGACTCAGCTTCACAGAACACTGGTCCTTAGGGGAGGTGTGGACTGAAATATGCAGGTGAAGATAGATGGGAACACATGGGCACCCAAAGACGCACATACACACACATGCACACATACACACACCAAGTCCACCAAGGAGGGACTGATGCCAAAGGCCCAAACCACATATTTAGAGCTTTCCTCCCATCCACCACCATCTCTAACAAGCACCCCCCAGGGCCTCTGACACTCGAATTCAGCTGCCATCACAAGCAGCTTTCTCTCCTGGACACTTCAGACAAAGGCAGCTGCCCCCAGTGGTCCAAGTGGGTACCATTGTCTCCAGGCAGAGGAGATACTAATCAGGCCTCCTCATAAGAAAAGCACCCATAAACCCCACACAACAAATGATGCAACTCCCTCCCTAAAAGAGTCTCCCATACCTCAGCAAAGCACTGAAAGCCATTCCTTGTAATGCCCTCTTTTGAGGTGAGAGGGTACCAAGAGGAAGATTGTTTGCTCCACGGGACACTTGTCACAGGCCTGATATGCACCAGCACAGCCTTGTGGCAGAACACCCTCCCCACCATGAACTCCCTCAGGCCTCCAGACTCATCCCAAGACTAGGATGCCCATTTTCTCAGAATACACATGGACTCCAAGGATTGGACAAACTAAGCAGTCAAGCCTTCGGCTCCCCAAAAGCCTGGGAACCATTTCCCTTGCCATGCTAGCATGACTAAATTCAAATCACCTCCTTCCTTCTTTTGTTGATGACTGTTTTACTAGAGTTTACTAGAGTTCAGCTAACTGCTCCAGTGTCAAGTGCAAGGGATCCTCCATGCACCTCAGCAATCTAGCCCAGCTTCTCTCTAAACCCCACATTCATTCATTCCTCTCAGCACCCACCCCTTACCCCCTCTAAGTAGGAAACCACCCCCAACCACTCTCAAGCCACACAAAGCAGAGTCAAGATCCTTAAAGTTGCCAATATTAAAACAAGAAAGAAATTAGCACGTGCTCAAACCCTAAGGTCTCACCAAGGGAAAACCTCTGTCTAGGAATTTCAAGGCCTCAGTTTACCCCTCTCGTTTAACGAAGGGGTTAGACTAAATGATCTCCAGGGGCCTTTCCAATTCTAGCATTCTGTGATTCTGTGAGGCTATAATTTAGAGCAGAGGAAGAGGAGATGGAAAGAAAGGAAACAAGCATTTATTAATCACCTACTATGAGTCAGGCACTGTGCTCAGTGTTTTACAAACATTATCTCATTTAATCCTCAAAACAACCCTAGGAGGTAGGTACTACTATAATCTCCATTTTTTAATTGAGGAAATTGAGGCAGAGAGAGGTTAAGTGACTTGCCCAGAGTCACACAGCTAGTAAATGTCTGAGGCCACATTTGAACTCAGGTCTTCCTGACTCCAGGCTCAGTTCTCCATCCACATTTCAACATTTAAAATTATTCAGTGGTTAACTCTGAGGCAACATGGTGCTATATAAAGAGCACAGGACTTGGGAGTCAGAGGACCTGGGTTCAAATTCTGACTATACTGCTTATTAGCACAATGATCAATTTTCTCATCTGAAAAATCAGGAGACTGAATCAGATAATCTCTAAATAAAGTCTCTTCCAGATCAAACTCTACCTCATGCATTTAAAAGAAGCAGGAGGACCCAGAAAAAAAATTGGAAAAAAAAATTTATCTTTCTCCCTTCTTGGCAGAGGTGGGTGCATATGGGTGGGGAATATTGCATACACCATCCAACAGTTAATGTGCTTGTTGGTTTTGCTGAATTGGCTTATGGGAAGAGGGAGTAGGAGAAATATATTCAGAAGTGAAGATGATACAAAATCAAAAGCTATATATAAAAGCAAAAATAATTTTTTGAGAAGGGAAAAGGAAAGAAAGAATATGTCAGCACTTGCAAAGAGGATGGGGAATGGTAATATTTCTCAAATCTAATCAAGAGACAAGAACAACGGAAAACAGGCATTCCTACAAGAGCGCCATGCAAGCAGTTCCCTGAAACAAGGGAGGCTGGCTGGGCCCTAAGTTTATCAGCATTACTGCCAACTTTCCTGAGTAACCACAAACCACACACAGCCCACAAGTAGTATGGCCATTGTGGGCATACAAGGCAAGCCCACCTCCTAGACAGATGTCTGTCAGTCACTCCACCATAGATCTCTGAACTCTGGCCAGGGAAGACAGGACAACAATTGACTGGTGTGTATAACATCCAGTACAAGAAGGATGCCCAACTTATTTTTCAGACCTCCCCCCAAAAACAGTCCCATGAAACTGATCAGCAATACCCATAATGAAAGGTACAATCAATCAATCAACATTTATTAAGCATCTGTTATGTGCCAGGCAACCATACTAACCAACCAACCAACACAAGACCCAGAGGAGATGGTGACTCCCCAGGGAGATGACCATATGGGAAATACCCGATAAAATCCAGAGTGGCCTTAACCTCCCAGGTAATCAGACCCTGCAGAGCTACTGGAATTGGATACCACAAACAAATGTGAACACAACTGTCTTCAAGAAAGAAATCCCAACCGCCAGCTCCCCACTGGCCACTTCACTTGCAAGGGGGAAAAAAGTTAGCTTGGCAAGGGAAAAGATCACTTGACCTCCTGGGACTGGGTCAATGATAAACTCAAGGTTTGTCCTGGGTGCAAGACCAGCCAAGCCTCAGGTCCAAAGGGTAGGCAAAGAAACTGGCACCTGACAGACTTGAGGGTGACTTTGTTCTACTGCCCACAGAGATAAAGGTGGAGTTCACCATCAGTCTAGAGCCACCACCAGGCCCCACAGTTTGTCTATGCAAGCCACTTCTGCATCTTTTGTAGAGAGTACCCAGGAAGGCAAAAATGGTGAGCAATCAAGGAAGAAACACAGCTCAATAAGCCGACACAAATCACTGCAGCTCCTTCCCAACCCCGAGAAGAGACAGGGCCCCAGGCACCCTACAGTGGTTTCAAGGAGACAGCTGGACAGTGTTAAAGCCAGGCCAAGAGACAGAGGCTCTTCTGCAGAGACCAGGTTCTCACACAGCTTTAACTGAGCTTTAACTGTTACCTTCCACCTCTCTCTTCTCCTGCCAGAGTACTTTGTTTACACTGATTAGAGGCTGTCCTCACCACAGTCCCAGGCAGGAAAGCACAAGCCCCAGAACCACAAAAAAGGGACCCTGTCCAAGAGTCCTGGTACCTTGGGTTGTGGGGTGGGGACGGGTAATCCACCTGCTGGAGTCCAAAGCCCGGGGCGGGGTGGGGGGGGGTGTTGCAGGGAGGCTCAGAGATCTCTGAAGCAAGTGGGAGCTAGCTCCTTTTCAAGCCCTCCCAAAGGGGACCTCTCCTGTGGCGGGGAGGTGGGGGATGGGGAGGAGGTGGACTATGGAGAAAAGGGATGAGACGTATGGAGGGAGAAATGAGATGGAATGGGGCATAATTTCATCCTCTCATGCTGCTCTCAAGCTCTGTATTAAACTATGATCCCTAAAACTAGACCAGGGGGATTTTTCTATCCTGTGTTTACCAAGTGAGATTCTATATCCCCTTCCTCACCAATGCCCAATCACCGTATTCTCTGGAAAGGCCCTGATCTGGGTAAGAGGAACCCAGATTGCAATATCCCTCCCTACACCAAAGTGTCTAAAATGGAAGAGTGCCTCCGCAGCCCTTCGTCCGTTCCAGCCTCCCCACCCCACCGTGGGTGCCACGGAAGGCGGAGCGGAGGAGCCCTGGGGAGGCTGCCCAGTCACCCCCGCACGAACACGGACACCCGTGGGGGGGTGTGGGGGAGGTGACACTCACCTGCTGGTATTCCGTGTCCTCGGGCCGGAACTGGCTGCTCGTCGTCTCCCACTGCAGGTTGAAATGGGGCAGCCGGTGCAAGAGATTCACCCACCAGGGCGCGGAGTAGCTGACCCCGGCCATGGGCCCGGCTGTCCGCAGGGGATTCCGAGGGGTAGGGGTGGACGGCTGGGGTGGGATGGGAAAAAAAGTGGGGGGGGAGATGCCTGCCTCCTGGCCGCCTCTCCCTCCCTCCCTCCTCTTCCTCCGCCTCCCCTGGCTCCCCGGCCTTGGCTTTGCTCAGCCGCGTGGGGCCCCGGTTGCCATCAGGCTCCTACTTCTCTTGGGGCTCCCGGGCAGGTTGACTGATGCGGGGAGGGTTAGGGGGCCAGGGTCCCCCGCTGCCCGGACGGCGTTCTGCCCGCTTCCCGCATCGCCGGGTCTGCAAACGAGCCAGCAGCCTGAGCGCCCCCGACGTGCAGCGCTGCACTCCGCTGCGCTCCTCTCCCCGATCCTCTCCTCCCCACCGCCTGCTCTTTGTTCGCAACCGCTGCCACCGCCGCGGCGAGAGCTGAAGCTCCCCGCCTCCCCACCCCCAGTCCACCCCCACCCCCACCCCTACCCCCACTTCCACCCGCCGCGCCCCCTTAGCCTCCATTGGTCCCGCTTCCATGGAGCCACGCCCCCTCCCGTTTATGGGACGCGCCCTCTACCCCCAAGACCGGTTCTTCCCCGGCTCTCCTTCCCATCCGCTAATTCAATACAGTCCTCCTGGAGTTGGTGAGCGATTTTAAAAGCCCACGCCATGACCGTGGGCCGGGTGTTGCCGAGACGGAGGTCAGCCTCTTGGGAAATAGGATTTCGAGGACTATGGACTATTGAGTATTTCCATGGTGGCATCTTTCCAAGAAGCTGACTTTAGCTGAATACAATGCAATGTAAACATTTAATCTTCACGCCGTCTGTCCAGTATTGTCTGAGTTCATTAAATGGCTCCTGCCTAACCACAGCCTCCTCAGGTCAGTAAGTCAGGCTGTCAACCCCTAGAGGGCAAGGGCTCAGTCACCCTCCTAACCCTAGAAGCAGCCGGTCTGGGAGGGCCTATGAAGACAGACAATCAAGTTTTGTATTTTGTCTCGGTTTTTTTTTCGTTTTTTATTTTTTGTTTTTTTTAATGATGATACAGACAGACTTGGAGACGGGAACTGAATTCTAGTCTCTGCCCTGCAATTATTACCCTCCCTAGCCTCACCTGCCAAATAGAGATAATAATACAGCCTGTCTTGCCTACCTCACAGGGATAGAATGAAATAAAGTAATATGCAGATAGATGTCACAGTAGTTATTCAAATTCAAATAGTAATTCAAATATGATATAAGATGCTTATTAGCTCTTTGACCTTAGGCAAGTAACTTCATTTCTCTGCCTCAGTTTCCTTATCTATAAAAAAAAAAAAAAAGGATATCATCACCTACTTCCTAGGGTTAAGATAATATGAGAGAACATTTGTAATGTGCTTAGCATAGGTGCTATGTAAGTGGTGCCAGTCATTATTAAATAAGTTTAAAAGCCCAATTTTTTTTTTTGGTTCAGTTCTGTCTCACTCTTCATGACTGCATTTAGGTTTTCTTGGCAAAGATACTGGAGTGGTTTGCCATTTCCTTCTCCAGCTCGTTTTTACAGATGAGGAAACTGAGGCAAACAGGGTTAAGTGACTTTCCCAGGATCACAGAGTTAGTAAGTGTCTGAGGGCAGATTTGAACTCATGAAGAGGAGTCTCCTGACTCCAGATTGGGTGCTCTTTCCACTGAGCCACTAGGTGCATAGTAAGTGCTTAATAAATACTTTTTTATAATAACAAATTTTTTTTAAAAAGCCTATGTCTAAATACCTATATCTGTCTATAGCTATACCTAAAAGCCTTATATTAGTGATTCTTATCTCGGGATAGATTTCAGGGGATCCATGAATTTGTATGGTAAAAAAAAATCTTTATTTTCACTAATTTCTAATTGAAATTTACCATTTCTTTCAATTATTTAAAAATATTACTTTTGAAAAGGGATCTATAGGTTTCACCAGGATGCCAAAAACAGTCCATAACACACAAAAGTTAAGGCCACCTACTCTATGTTAATATAACTCCCAAGACTGAGAGGTGTCAGGAGGTTTAACTGCTCCATTTTACAGATGAGAAGACTAAGTGATTTGCCCAAAGGCATGTATCTTCTTCAGAGACAGGCTTGAAACACAGATCCTATGACTTCTGAGCCCTAAGTCCTCCTCTCATGCTTCATCCTAGAATGGATGAGGATCTGGAAGCAAGAGCTAGTGAAGCAAAAGCTACGTAAGGCAAGTGCTATAGGACTAGAAAGGCTTCATGTACACAGGCCCACTAGATGACCTGACCTTATATCTACCCCTGGAGGACCAGCCTAATTCAGAATAGCTCACTTATTAGGTGGTTGGTCGCCAGGGTGATAATATTTTTAGTCCACAGCAATTCATGAAGGAGCAGAGAGGTTATAACCTACCTGGGTGGAAGGATCGTCCATACTGATGAAATCATAATCTTCTGAAGTAAAAAGTATAGAGAGATCAGGTATTATAACTGTTATTAGCATCCTGAGCCACACCCCTGGGGCCTTGTCAGAGTATCAGCTCTGGCTCACAGTCCCTGCTGGGGATTTTTCAAAGCCCTAAGCTTTCTAGTCTGGTATTAGTCACTGCTGCGTTCTATTTCTGTTCATCCCATTTTCTGAGTCAGGGGCTCTCCAATTCTGATTTTTTGCATATTCCCTCTCCCCCAAAGCTCTTATGGACCCTTTTTCCCAACGTGGTTGTGAAGCCCTCTACTAGAAAATGGGGCCACTGAGTTAGCAGTGGGCTGCAGAAACTCCATTTGTTTAGACCAGCTCCTCTCTTAAGAGATCATATTACACTTTAGGATTTACAAAGTGCTTTCCTCACACCTTTGTCAAATTCTGCCCCAATATTGTTCAGTCGTTTTTTTCAGTCATGCCTTACTGTTCATGACCCCATTTGGGTTTTTCTTGGCAAATATACTGGAGTGGTTTGCCATTTCCTTTTCCAGCTCAATTTACAGATGAGGAAACCAAGGCAAACAGGGTAAAGTGACTTGGCCAGGGTCACACAGGTAGTAAGTCTAAGGCTGGATTTAAACTCAGGTCTTCTTGACTCTAGGCCCAGTGCTCTGTTCACTGCACCACCTAGCTGTCCAGCAGCCCAATGACTCTCTTCCAAATCTGTCACTTATCACAACCACTCACTTTCCCTGAAGGTAACACTACAGAGATTTCTCTCTGTCCCACCATCTGTTTCTTGCCTGCTCTAATTCCAAATATAAGGTTTCAGTCCCCTGATTCTTTTCTTCTTTCAGCAAAGACTCTAGTCCAGGGCTTCTTAACCTTTTTTATGTCATGGATGTCCAGTGGTATGCTCATAAATGTTTAACAAACAGCTCTCTAGAAAAAAAATTATTGTAAGACGCACTATTAAGTTTAATCTGAATTATTAACATTTTCTCTATCACTTTCTTATCTGGACAATCAACAAAACAAAAAATCAAGTCCTGATGTGTAGCTATTGCTTATTTCTGAGGTGGAAATGCTCACACCGAAAATTTAACAATTGGCTCTAGGGGCCCAATGGACCCCTTTGGCAGCCTGGTGAAGCTCATGGACCCCTTCTTAACACAGAGTTTTTAAGTGCATAAAATAAAATATGTAAGATTATAAAGGAAAACAATTACATTTAAGTGTAGTTATGAATTTTTAAGAGTCCATGGATACCAGGTTAGGAACTCGTACTTTAGATAATACCGTAACTTTTCTATAGTCTGATGTGCCTTTGCTAAACTCTAAATCAAACATTCGATTTTCTGTTTAAATCTCACCCAAATGGAACCTGTTTATTTGTGTATTTTCTGTCCCATGAAATGCAGTTGAAGGATATCACCAGAGAGATTATGTAACCATAACAGAAGGTGGGCTGGTCATGTAGTGAGGCTAAGGGTTAACTAATGTGGAAAGGGTACCAGTGGACCTGTGATCTCAGCCACTTCACTTAACCTCTCTTTGACCAGTTTCCTCATCAGTGAAATGAGAGGGGGATTCGACCAGATGACTTTTAATGGCCCTTCCAGTTAGACATTATTGCCATTTCTAGAGGATGGACCCCAGCATGTTGGATGGGCCCTCTCCACCTTTGGGAGAACATGGAAAAAGAGCTACATGTAATAAGAGAACATGGGTGAGTTGAGATCTGCCCTGTTGAAGAAAGTTCCCATGAATACCCACATCAATGGGATTAAAGACTCATCTCAGTAGGTAAATAGTGAAATGAAGATGACATAAGAGTCAATGTGATACAGTACAAAGTGGGTAGAGTTCTGGACATCTGGGTTCTGATCCCTGACTCTGCTGCCAACTTACAGTGTGACCCTTTGCAAGTAACTTCTCTGGGACTCTTAAGTAGCAGGTTAAAAATTATCTTTAAGGTCCTTTCCAGCTTTAAAATTCTCAGGACTGAGTCTATGATCCTACGAAAAGCCAAGGGTCAGTCATTGTGAGAGGAGGAAAATAACTTGCATTTGTAAAGTTTTGCTTTTCTCCTTATTGATAACTTTTATTGAAATACTAGGTGACACAGTGGATAGAGCACTGGGTTTAGAATCAAGAAGACTCGTCTTCCTGAGTTCAAATCCATCTCAGACATTTACTAGCTGTGTGACCCTGGGCAAGTCACTTAACCAAGTTTACCTCAGTTTTCTCATCTAGAGAAGGAAATGCCAGACTCTAGTATCTTTGCCAAGAAAACCCCCAGTGGGGTCCTGAAGAGTTGGATATGACTGAACAACAACTAATAATAATAGCATTTATGTAACATATTGAGTTTTGCAAAGTGCTTTATTCATTATCTCATTTGATTTTCACAGCAACCCTGTGAGGTAGGTATTATTATTATTCTCATTTTACAGATAAGAAAACTGAGGCTGAGAGTGACTTGTCCACTGCCATACCACCTATAAGTGTCTGAGACAGGATTTGAACTCAGGTTTTCCTGATTCTAACTGCACACTCTATTCACTGTACTGCCCATTGACAACTTTTAAATATTCCACAACTGTTAACTAAACAATCCAATCCTAGTCAATGTTGATGTTGAGAAGTTTCAGTCATGTCCAACTCTTCATGACCCCATTTGGGGTTTTCTTGGCAATGATACTGGAGTGGTTTGCCTTTGCCTTCTTCAGTTCATTTTACAGATGAGGAAACTGAGGCAAACAGGGTCACACAGCCTCTGTCTGAGGCCAGACTCAAGAAGAGTCTTCCTGATTCCAAGCCCAATGCTCTGTCCATTGTGCCACCTGGCTGTCCCCATCCTATAGTCAATATTAAGCCTCAACCTATGAGGTCAGTGAGTTTCATTTTTCTTTTCT